CTCCGAGATCATCAATTTCGGCCCATTACAATGGAGTGGCAGGGTTGGGTAAGTAGCCCGAAGCTATAGCTTGTTTATTTGGTTCCATACTTCAGTTATAGAGATCTTAAAAATGAAAATCCAGAAAAAGTTTCATACCCATAACTTGTTTATGTCTTTCCTAAATGCTACACGACGAGATACTCTAGCTCTCCGTCAGCGACCCTGGTACATGAAACAGTTTGCTTATTGGAATTAGGCAGAGGAGAAAGCTTCGCTTCTGTTCCCGGAGCCCTGCGGGTTTTCTTGAAGCTGAGACTTGCTCGTTGGGGGCTCGGGACCTGCCCCGCCCGTGCCCCGGCGCAGGGAGCTGCCAGTAGACAAGCAGAGGTATTGTGTGCGGGCTCTGCAGGCCTACTCATCATACCTCCCATTCCAGTGACACTATCTTCAAGGGCAGTTCTTTTGTGTAGTACAGGTAAGCTTTATATGAGCTCTAAGCACTGGGGTGGGGCAGGAGCCATTCCATCTCTCTCTGAAACAGGAAGAGCTTCCCATGGATGGATCAAGTGTCAGACATGACTAACACTTTCCATTTCATAGGCTAGGTAATTGAGCTCAGCCACACGTGAAAATGGCGAAAAGCTTAGACTTTGCTTCTGTTAAAATTTTATAATTTTCATGCATAGGTGTGTGTGTATTTTTTAAACTATGTTTTTATTATTGATTTTAGAAAGGAAGGGAGAGGGAGAGAAACATCGATGACAGAGAAATGCTGATTGGCTGCCCCCTGCATGCCCTGGGTATCGAGTCCTGGGCATGTGCCCCGACCGGGAATCAAACCAGTGACCTGGATGACAGTCAACCAACTGAGCCACACTGGCCAGGGCTATATGTTCGTTTTAGTTGAGTGCTTGAAGCAATAATGCATAGCAGTGATGAAAATCCTCTCAAAACCTCAAAAGAGTTTTTCTTCCACTTGTTCAAATTTAACCTCTCAAAATCTCTTCGTGGCATGATGCTGAGAGAGTATGTGACAGAGAAAAAAACAGACACTGCACAGCAAGGACATCACAATGGGATTCTAAATCAGCGATATTTAACTTGGGATTCTAACTCACGCAGACTTACATAGCTTTGTTTTCTGATTCTAGCCCATAAATATTAATTGCATAAGAAATGATAAAAAAAAATCATTAAAAAACAGTCTTAGTTTCGGAAGGCACCTTCAAAGAGCTCTGGTTGGACTCTTTCCGTGCTCCATTGTAGGATGACCAACATCTGGGTTTGCTCAGGACCGAGGCGTTTCAGTGCTAAGACCTGGAGAGACGTGGGCAAATGGGATGGTTAATCACCTTATCTCCAACAACACATTTGGAAAGTATCGAGACTGTGATAGGCAAATGTTTTCAAATAATCTACCATTCTCAGCAGAAAGAAGAGACAGTTTGGAGCTGTGCGAGTGTTACGTGAGCATTCTGCAAATAATCACTGTAGAGAAGTTACAGAGTTTGGACTCAGGCTGTCCCTTGCTGGCAAAAACTAGGTATTTTAAAAATTTATGTATGTATTTATTTATTCATAATTTATTCCCTGCCTACTTCTAAAAATGATATGAGATGGCGTACAGTAAGACCACAGATAAAGGTACTGAGTCTTTGCAGCAGTAATAATAATGTAAAAGATATATTCAGGAGCTTGACTCAAAGTAGTATGCTTTAAAAGTCAAATTTGATAATATGAATAGTACCCAGGGCAAGTTCTGAGGTGCTCTAGGTAGAAAAATATACTGGGGCATTTAAAACGACTACCCAAGCCCCATAATCTTGGATAAAAATGGAGCTATTATGTGATGTTCCAAGGTCTCCACCAGACAGTCGGATTGGGCTGTTGAGGGGAGGCCCAGGGCAGAAGTGCTTGGGGCCCTCCAGACCGGGCTGGCAGCTTTCATTCAGTGCACGCTCTCCATTCTGGGGTCACACAGTCTCGCACTAGACACAATTGTGTTGTGTTAAAAGACTGTTGCATTTATTAAAAAAAAAACAAACAAACTGGTATAAGCCTTTGTTTTTTTTTTCCAAATCTAGACTCCTGTGAATTTGAGGAAGTCATTATAATCTACCGGAGCCTGTTTTCTCATCTATTACGTGGAGATAATACCTACCTGATAGATTTGTAGTGAGAATGAAGTGGGATTGTATATAAAAATGACTTATAAAACTGTACTATAAAAGTAGAGTATTAAAAATATTGACAACCACTAATATAACTGCTATTCTGTTGTATCCGATATTCAGGATGTTCATTTAGGACTCAGTTACAGTTTTGAACATAACCAAGAGAACATGTAGATTCATTTTGAATGGGGGTGGGTGATCAAATGAATTTAATAGAGAAATACACTTATTCAAGTTTGTTAAAATTTTGAATTACAAATGCAATCAATTGCCTCCCCAGGTATCAAAAATGAAATTGCTCCATTTCGTACAGTAGTACCCACCTACCGTTTCCAGAACAGATGCCAAGAACATAAGCATGTTTTAAAAATTGAGTTTAAACTGCCTAGAGCAGGAAACACATTAAAAAAATCTTGAGTTTACCTGTCCCGAGACAAAGTTTGTCTACTCGGAAGGTAACGGTCTCGGCTCCTCCCACATGTCCCTCTTCACTTACGTGTGTCACTTGCCTGGGCTTGCAGACAGTTGAGCTTGTATCTTCTCAATTAGGAAAACTAAACGGATTACATATTTTTCAAACTATCTTTTATGTATATTATCACATAAAATGAGGTTCAAGTAAAAGATGAGCAGCATCTACTTCAATGCTATGTTTTGCGGCAGTGTTTTTGTTTAAGTATACTCCATGGCTTCTTATGGTCTAAAACTCGAGTATCACAGAAAGATCAACTTGACACTCTTTTGTGAAATTTAAGAACCTCATACAGATTCTCATCCAAATATATAGTTGTTTCCTACTGCCAAATGGAGGAGGGCTGAGGGGTTATCTGTGGGTAAAGCCAAGAAATCTTCAAGTCCACTTTGATACATTTCAGGCCAGCCTCCTCATCTGTAAACTGGCTCATTAACACCCACCTTGCAAAGATGTTATGAGGATTAAATATAATAAGGGATGTAAAGCACACGATGTCAGACCATAGTGAGTCTTCAGTGACTAGTAAGCCTTCAAGCTATTTTGTTACTATGATGAATACTTTTTATTATTATGTGAATGAATGAGGAATTGAGATATTACTTATCAGACATGGTATCTTCTAAACATTTGACACTAGAATTTTAAGTGAAAACCCATTTTATAAAGTAAATATAAAAACAATACTTTATGAGTACAGATGCATTTTGTAAGTCTACATTTAAAAAAATATACTTATTGATAAGGTCAATGAAAACAAGAAGATGTCTTTGCTGAACACAAACACAGGGTGGGCCAAACGTGGGCTATAGTCTTTACAACCTAGAGTACATGAAACGGTTTATTCATGTATTATTATTATTATTATTTTAAAATACATCTGTTTCCCTTTTTATTTTTTAAAATATTCATTCATTCATTTATTTATTTATTTTGGTACGTGCCCCTAGCGGGGACTGAACCCGGGACACTCTGGTCTGCAACCGCTGAACCAGACCGGCCAGGGCTTATGTATTATTATTTATTAATTATTGTATTGTTTTCCATATGAACAACTGTAAACTTACTTTTGCCCCACCCTGTATATAAAATCTGGGATTATAGATAATAGCTTGACAATTATATCAGCTCTATCATACAGTTTGTTTTTTATTCATTTTAGTTTCTTAATTTTTAAATTTGGTATCTTTATTTGACATTGGTTTATTTGGTATTTTTATTTTGTGTCTTTATTTGGTTTATATGGTTTTATCCTCTTAGATTGCAAATTTCTCAAGGATGGGGATCATCTCCAATTTCTCTCTTGGGCCTAATGCTCGGTAGAATGTATGGGACATGGTGGGCCTCAACAATGTTTTCCTGTTTTACCTGAGGAAAGCCACTGTGCTTTTTAAGGTCAGTTGGTATGTACAGGAGTTAGAGCTTGAAAAGAACAGAAAATGATGCAATAAAATAACTGATCTAATAATAGTACATTCTTGATGAAGGTCCAGGAGAAATTTAACCTGTTGGTTCAATTCTTGGTAAACCAAGGGAAGAATCTGGTTTCGAAAAGTGCATGTGTGCATGCATGCGTGTGTGTGTGCCTGTGTGTGTGTTGTGTATGCATATGCTTGCTCCTTCATGCATGTGGATTTATGAGGGTTGGCAAGGGACAGAGTGAAGGAAATGGGAAGGGGACGGACACTGTCGAGGCCCTGCCATGTGTCAGGCACTTGCTAAGCACACTTGGCTTGAATCCGGTTCATTCTTCGTGAGGACTTTTGCTGCATCGGAACCTGTTGAAAAGTGCCCACTGAGCCCTGGCCGGTTTGGCTCAGTGGTTAGAGCATCGGCCTGTGGTCCAGAGAGACTCAGGTTCGGTTCCTGCTAAGGGCGCGTACCTCGGTTGCAGTTTGTCCCTGACCCTGGTTGGTTGTGCCGGTGGCAGCCACTCGATATGTCCCTTTCATGTCGATGTTTCTCTCTCTCTCTCTCTTCCTCTCTCTCTCTCCCACTTTGTCTGAACAAAAAATAGAAAAATGTCCTTGGGTGAGGATAAAAAAAAAGAAAAGTGCCCACTGAAATGTTTATCACACTTTGGCAGGTAGACTGTGGAAAAAATTACAAGCTACCTGTAGAGCTGCGGGGTCAACTTCTGTCTTCTAGAGCCTGAGTAATGTGCAGAGTTCTTTATCGCCCCGTCTTATCCGTGAACACCAGCAGTAAAAGGCGAATGGGGGAACTGGACCCTCACAGGAACTCCCCTGGTCTGTTCTGATAAAAATACCAATAGCTAGCATTTGTCAAACACTCTGATTGCTTCACCCATGTTAACTTTTTTACTCCCCACAATTGCACGAGGTAGGCACCGATGTTACTTCATTTTGCAGGTGAGAAAATTGAGACACAGAGAGGAAGTGTAACATGCTCCAGTCCCTATTTAAGAAGGTGGTAGATCCAGGATTCTGAGCCCATTCCTTCAGCACCCACCACTCAGGAAGCTGCTCTTGCGATCTGCCTCCTGCAGTATCAGCGGCAGAAGTAAGAGGAAGCCTGATGTGCTGGTCAGTTCCATGTTGGGGGTTCTTCACTGGAGCGTCCACTGACGGGAAAGGAAAACGACTGCTCCTTGCGGGCGGCTGCAGCCGTGGTACCGGGGCAGGACGTGCTCTCCCTGCTGTGGACATGAAGGTGAAGGCGATGTTCCGGACCAGGAGGGAGCCTGGCTGGAAACAGTGCAGGTAACTGCAGGTCCTTCTCTGCATTTGTTTCTATTTTAAGTTGGGGGAAAATGGTTATTTAGCTCTGGTTGGCTCAATCTGTTGAAAAAAATATATGTCCTGAAAAAATATTATATATATATAAAAAATATATCTGGAGGCCCTATGATGATTATGAGCATAAAATTGCCCAGCAATTGGAAACCTTTAATTATACACCTCGAACATCCTAGCCAAATTGTTTTGGAGCCTAAAAAAAAATCATAGGTGGAAGGAAACATCTGCTGTGTTTTTCATGAGAGCTGTGGAATCCGATATGCTTCATTTCCACGGTTATTTACATGCATTGGGCACACTTACAAATTTTACCTGTCACTAAATGTTCTACTCAGAACATTCCACATAAGCAGAAATAAATGTTCACCTCTGTAATATCCACAGGTTAAAGCCATCTATAGAAGTGGGAAGCTAAATGTAGAAAAACCATTGTACAGGCTCAATTGTTTTTCCTCCTGCTGTCTTAGAAGATGAATTTTGAGCACAAAATATATTTTGTTTTTAGGGAAGATTTGTTTACACTGTATAGTGTCAATGATGCTCAGGTTTATTTGTGCCATGGCTATAGACACTGTGAGACTTGACCCACACCGTTAACAATATACTTGAAGAAAATGAGCACATCTTGGGTGACAACTCTTCATTAAGATAAGCATGAATTAAATCTCATTCTTTGAAGAAACCTCTGTCTCATAGTGGAAGATGGTGTTGCAAGCTAGCATTGCGTGACCATTGCAGATTTGTTTGCTGGTCTCTATGGGGAGGTTCATTGGCAGATCACCCAGCATAAGGCTTAATCTTGAAAAGAGGAAAAAATACTGTTTGAAAAACACTAGAGGAATTGGTGTTTTTAGCCTGATCGTAATTCATGGAAAGCACGAGGGGATCTGTATGAACTATGTTCTTTATATTAATGGATAGCGAGAAGTCTTCCTTCACCCTCGTGAATCTTGTAGAAGACATTTGCAGAGAAATTACTGGAGCTGCTCCCCTGTGGGGAGATTAATGCTTTAATATGTAAAAGCAGACAATTCACAATTCCTTTGCTCAGTGGCACTCTGAGCTGTGTGGTCTTACTGCTTTATTTTCCCCTTAGAGCTTGTCTTCTTAAAAACTTCTGTGGAGTCAGATAGAGCCACTAATGCAAAGCCATTTCCTTGGTCTACACTTGAGGACTCTGCTACATGGAACCACCAAGCAATTTGTGACCTAGATCTGATGAATTGTCTGTGAAGGTATTGAGATTTTCTAGCTCCTCCATTGGAATTTACTACTTGCTATATCAGCATCAGAGTCAGACACTGGAAAATGGTATTAGGGAAGAATGTATCCTTAGGCCTTGCTGCCTCTTAGTTTCTCTTTAAAGGAGAAGCTGCCAAAAGCATTGTCTTTAATAACCCAGCACCAGTCCATTACACTCATGCGTCTTGTCCCCATCCTATCTTCCTTCCTGGGTGGTCTCCTGAAACATCAGGGGTCTCTGTGTGGCCATCACTCCTTATTTCCTGTATCTTCACTTCTCCACCTTCTTCCCATGAGCAATGACCATGCTCAAGATTTTTACATGTTAATAAGAGGAAAACACCCTCTGTACTGCATATTCCACTCCAGCTGCCTTCATTTTGCTTGCACGGAAAAGCCAAGCATCTTGGAAGAGATACTCAGCATCTCCTATACTTCCCATTTCATCATAGTCTGGACCCTGACCTACAACTCTAATGGAACTGCTTTCGTCAAGGTCACTAAGATCCTCTGTGGTACATTCACTGGTAGCTCTGTTTCTTTGTTTGTTTTGTTGTCAATTCTCACCAGAGGATAGTTTTTCACTGATTTTTAGAGAAAGTGGAAGGAAGGGAAGAGGGGTGGGGTGGGGGTGGGGGAGAGAGAGAGGGAGAAAGAGAGAGAGAGAGAGAGAGAGAGAGAGAGAGAGAGAGAGAGAGAGAGAAAGAGAAACATTGATGTGAGAGAGACACATCGACTGGTTGCCTCCTGTGCACCCTGACTGGGATCATACCAGCAACCTAGGTACATGCCCTTGACTGGGAATCAAACCTGTGGTCCTTTGGTGTTTAGGCCAACATGCTAACCACTGAGCAACACTGGCCAGGTCTCTCTCTTTTTCTTACTTGACCACTTGGTAATTATCAGCTCATGTTAAAAAACAAATTCTTTTTTTCTTGATACTGAATTCTTTTTCTTAAATTTAATTTTTGAATTTAAAGTATCTTGGATAAAAGAAAAAATATATTCTGTATATTATTTAAAAAATTATGGAACATGCGTTTGCCCGTCTCCCTACTCTGTCCCTCTCTCTTTATTTATTTATTTATTTATTTATTTATTTATTTATTTATTTATTTTTTTATCCTTACCGGAGGACATTTTTCCATTTTTTGTTCAGATAGAGTGGGAGGGAGAGAGAGAGAGAGAGAGAGAGACAGAGAGAGAGAGAGAGAGAGATCGATGTGAAAGGGACACATTGAGAGGCTGCCACCCGCACGACCAACCATGGCTGGGGACAAACTGCAACCGAGGTACGCGCCCTTAGCGGGAACTGAACCCGGGCCTCTCTGGACCACAGGCCGACGTTCTAACTGCTGAGCCAAACCGGCCAGGGCTGTCCCTCTCTTTGATTGGAATTGCACTAAATCCTTAGATCAATTTAGGTAGATTTGCCTCTTTTTAAAACATTTTTATTTTTTAACTCATCTTTATTGTTGAATGTATTACAGATGTCCCCCCCCCTTATTCCCTATTGACCCCCTCCTCCCCAATCCTGTCCCCCTCCTGCCTTCCCCACACTATTGTCAGTGTCCATTGGTTATGCATATATGCATAGAAGTTCTTTGGTTTATCTCATTTCATCCTCCCTCCCCCTTTCCCATGGAGGTTCATCAGTCTAACAACCAATTTGTACTTCTTAATTTCTTCATCTTTTTCACCCATTCCCCCAAACCCCCACCCATCTGGCAACCAACAAACAGTTCTCTGTATCTATGTCTGTTTCTGTTCTGCTTGCTTATTTTGTTTGTAGATTCAATTGTTGATAGATATGTATTAATTGCCATTTTATTGTTCATTTTTTGGTTCTTTTCCTTCAAGAAGACCCTTCAACACATCATATAATAGTGGTTTGGTGGTGATGAATTCCTTTAGCTTTTTCTTGTCTGGGAAACTCTTGCTATGTCCGTCAATTCTAAATGGTAGCTTTCCAGGATAGAGTAATTGTGGTTGTAGGTCATTGCTTTTCATCATCTTGAATATCTCTTGCCACTCCTTTCTGGCCTGCAAAGTTTTTTTTTTTTAGAAATCAGCTGACAGTCTTATGGGAGCTCCTTTGTAGGTAACAAACTGCTTTGCTTTTGCTGTTTTTAAGATTCTCTGTTTGTATTTAACCATTAGCATTTTGACGATGATGTGTCTTGGTGTGGTCTTCTTTGGGTTCATTTTGTTTGGGACTCTCTGTGCTTCCTGGACTTGTATGTCTGTTTCCTTTACCAATTTAGAGAAGTTTTCTGTCATTATTTTTTTTCAAATAGGTTTTCAATTTCTTGTTCTCTCTTCCTCCTTCTGGAACCCCTGTGATGCAAATGTTGGCACGCTTGAAGTTGTCCCAGAGGCTCCTTACACTATCCTCATATTTTTGGATTCTTTTTTCTTTTTGCTGTCCTGATTGGGTATTTTTTGCTTCCTTATATTCCAAATCGATGGTTTACTTCTTGGCTTTACCTACACTACTGATTCCCTGTAAATTATTCTTTATTTCAGTTAGTGTATCCTTCATTTCTGACTGGTCCTTTTATATGTTGTTGATGTTCTCACTAAATTCCTTGGAGGTCTCCTTAAGCTCCTTTAAGGTCTCACTAAGTTCCTTGAATGTCTCACCAAGTTCCCTGAGCAACCTTATAACCTGTGTTTTGAACTCTGCATCTGATTGATTGTTTCTCTCTATTTTGTTTAATTCTTTTCCTGGAGTTTTGTTCTTTTCTTTCATTTGGGACATGTTTCTTTGTCTCCTCATTTTTGCTGCTTCCCTGTGATTGTTTCTGTGTATTAGATAGAGTTACTATGTCTCCTAGGCTTTGTAGGGTGGCCTATTGTTGGAGGTGTCCTGCAGGATCCAGTGGCACAGCCTCCCTGGTCACCCTAGCTGGGCCCACGTGGTGCACCCTTAGTGTGGACTATACACCCTTCTGTTGTAATTGAGTTTTGATTGCTGTTGGCACATCAATGGGAGGGATTTACTCAGGTTGATCAGCTGCAAGGACTGGCTGTGCCCACTGACCACTGGCCTCTGACTACCTTGGAGGATCAGCTACCAGTGTGAGCCAGGTTGCTGGAGTCCCAGGTATGGCGCCTGTCTGCTGCCCCAGGGCAGGGCTCACCAAAGGAACAAAGGCCTCTGACAGCACGTCTGTCCAGGAGAAAGCCCCCTTTCCAGCCCTTGCTCCAGTGCCAAACAGCTCAGTTCTTCCCTGTATGTCTCTGGTGCCCCTCAAGCTGCCTTCCCTCCAAGCTTAGAGGGAGTGAGTCTGGTAAGTCCGTGCGCGGGCCCTTTAAGGAGCTGCCAGGGGCTCCAGCCGCGTCAGCCTCCCTGAGCCTCAGTTCCCGCTGGTTTTCCAGCCAGAAGTGATGGGGATTCTCTTCCTGGCACTGGAACCCTGAGCGGGGCGCCTGGTGTGGGACGGGGACCCCTCAGTCCTCAGGAAGGACCTTCCTAGCTGAGGTGTCCTCCTGATTTTTATCCCCACATGTGGGTGTGGGCCCAGCCCGTCCCCTCCGCCCTCCTACCAGTCTCGGTGTGGCTGCTGCTTTAATTCCGTAGTTGTAGGACTTCATTCAGCTTGATTTCAGGTGGTTTTGAATGATGGTGGTTCTGTAGTTTAGTTGTAACTTTGATGTGGTTGTGGGAGGAGGCGATACCGCGTTTACTTACCCGCCATCCTGATCTTAGATTTGACCTCTTAAAATGTTGATTATAATCTCTGTGTCCATGAACAATGTATCTTTCTCTTATTTAGTGTCTTTCAATTCGGTTTAAACATTTGCTCTATAAACGTCCTTTACATCCTATGTTAATTTTATTTGGCAGCTCAGTTCTGTTGTAGTTATTTAAAATGGTATCTCCTCTAACACTACATTTTCTTTCTATTTGTTAATAGTGTATAGAAATATTGATTTTAGTGTATTGATCTTACAATCAGGCACTTTACTCTCTTATTCTAATATTTTTTTTTCTGCGGCTTTGCTGTTTTGTAAGAATATTTATTATTGAGAGTTTATTGCTAGTAAATGCTCTTAGTTTCTGTTTATTTCAAGCTGCCTTTGTTTTGGACTTGCACTGAGTAATAGTGTTATGCAGTTCCAAGTTGACAGTTTTTTTTGTCAGCCCTTTGAAGATATTTTTCCACAGTTTCTGGCTTCTACTGTTACTACTGAGAATTCTGCCATCGGTAATAGCCGTTTCCTTGTAGTGATCTGTCTTTTCATTCTGGTTAAGTAGGATAAAGGGGAGCCACAAAAACTCAGGAATAACAGCGGCAGAACTGTCAGGGAGGGCGTGTTCCCAGAAACTGGGAGAAGGAAGGGTTCTGTAGGGCAGTGACCGTCTGTGACCCTCTGACAGGAGACACCGCCAGCCCTGGAGACGTCACAGGGAAGGAGCCGAGGTTATCACACCTACACTCACTCCCCCTCTCGCTTCCCCCAGTCAGGAGCCAGGGGTCCTGATCAGATTGATACGATGATAAACACAGGCCGGATAAAAATAGGGGGACGAGGGCATGGTGGAAAAGGGTGGAAAGACTGGATCTGGAGGGGTCAACATGAGATATTTAGCCCATTCTATTAATTTTCTTTTCCCGTCAACTTTGTTTTGGTCATTTCGGATCATTCTTGGTCTTTTCTCAATTTTAGATCCCATCTTTTCGGTAGGTATTCATGCGTTGTTATTTATTGTATCTGTTGGGTCTGATGTCCTAAGTCTTGTGGTTCTGCAGTTTTTTGGGTTTCTATGGACCCTCGCCACGATGGCTTGTTTTCTTGAGTTTATGTTCATTTGCTAACGTGAGAACATTTTTGGCCAAAATGAATCTGTGTGATTCTGAAGGGACCTGAGTTGATGATCCTTTTCTCTAAAGAGGAATTGTGTTTCTTTCTGCAAGATACTGTGGCCCTCCACACCCTTCTCTGTGAGCATTTGAACCCAAGTCCCTTGTGAAAGAATAACTATACA